AATCACAAACGACTATGATTTGGTCAAACCGTAACCGCGATGAGAAAAGTAACAGATATCGTGTGACAGCGCTTGTAAATGGCTCAAACCAATCAGAGCAGAGAGTGATTTCTTCAGTTCTTTCCAGTTCAGCTTTTTTGGCAGTAGCAAGTACACCATTGCGAAAGCATTATAGAGCATTTTTACTCAACAAACGTAATATAATTATAATGGAGTTTCTCATATATTATGCTGCTAATGGTGTTTATTTCACAAATCAATTTCTTTATAATCTTGTTAATAGTTCTGAATAAGCATCAAACGATCTGATTTTATTTGATTTATAAACCTATTATCATTCAAAATGAATCATAATTCATGTTTATTTGATCATTAATTAAAACACGATTTAATCAATAAATAATTTGGTTCCAGTAATGGTTTCAAGGCTCAAAAGTTAGATTTTTATTAATAATTTTTCAATCGTTATTAGCCTATACAGATTTTAGGGTAATGCTGACTAAAGCTGCCGACACACTTGCAAAATGTGTTTTTGTTGAGTATTACAAGTGATGATCAGCAACAGATATTTCTTCAGTTCTGAGAAAAATTGAGAAAGAGCAATTGTCTTTAAAGGTTCACTCAGAATAATAATTCTGGTATCATTCAGTTCACAGAAACTTAATCAGAATCAGAATCAGAATGAGCTTTATTGCCAGGTATGTTTACACATACGAGGAATTTGTTTTCGTGACAGAAGCTTCCGCAGTGTAACAGAATGACAGTCACAGAACAAAAAACACAGATAATAAAAAATAGAACAAGTAAATAAGGAATAAAAATATATAAATTGGGGGAAGTTAATGAGGAATAAGTGTGTCAAGCTTTAAAAAAACAAAAAACAAAAACAAAGTATGAATGTAGTCCTTGTAACTCATGCATTATTCAGCTATCAGCTAATAACAACTTGCATTTGAGTCTCTTTCACAGAAAGTATCATACGGCTTGGAATATTTTATTGCTTATTGCATGTAAAAGAGCAGATCAAAAACATACAATGTAGGGGGAGACCAGGTATGGTTGAAACACTTTTTGTTTCAGCATCTGTAACTCACTGAATTTTTGAGCTAGGGTGCTCAAACTTTTCTACAAAGTACCCACATTTGTTTACTACAAATGACACCAATTCAAACCTCTGTAAGAATATCACAGCACTTATAAGTTGATGTCAAATACATGGAGTGCCTTTGTTACAATCTACGCCACTGCCGGTGTATGTTGTAAGAATTAGACAAAAGAAACAAAAACAACAGCCATGAAGTATGCTTCAAAAAAAGGTTTATTGAAACAATCTAAAAGAGCAATACAAGACAGTGTCTCACTTTCTGTGGTTGACCACAGCTCAAATCCACATTGTTTGATGCAGGAGTGTGTGTGTTTATGTGTGTGTGTGTGTGTATGTATGTATGTATGTATGTG